CTAATAACTTAGTGTTGATTGACTCACGTTCTAATGACTGAAGGAATATTTATTCTCTTACAAGTGCAGGTATGCCTCCGTGACAAATATCATTAAGCATGAAATCCGGGTCGAGAGTTTTCTACTGATTCATCATCTTCAAGACCAACATAGGACCAAGCATTACTGCTTAACGGTCCGAATTGTCACACTTCATATCAGCACATCAAGTAACAAGGCAATAAAATGGAAGATGAAGAAAGAATAAAGGAAGTAGAAAGTAGTAAAAGAGAAGAAGGGAGAATGAGAAGATAATGGGATTAAGTATAGTGGTTAATGTGTGTATGCATTTGCGACAATGACAGCCGTTCTCAGCCACATCACTTTAAGTCTCCAACCACTGGTTTCTCTTGTTTCTCTGACATCAACCACCTAGTCTGCGTCGCCCTACATGGCTCAAACCAGCAGTCAAGGACTCCATACATTGGTGCCATGTTATAGTCTTGCCGCCCCGAACCTTTTTCTGGCCTGAATCTACTTCGGTCAACATTGTGACGAGACAGACGGTGGATAGACACACGTAACCCATATCCCGGCTATCTCAGTCGATGAAGGTTTAAAAGCACACCAAATGTCTTACCTCTCCTCCCTAAAACTCTTCGCCTGACTTCTACGTTACTCACGTGGTGACACCACGAAACACGGCCTATGCTACGAAGCCAACGATGATCAAACATCTGAAGCCTTCTCATGTTTTCTGCCTTAAATCCCCATGTTCCACAACCATACAGTAAAATAGAGCGGACTGCAGGACAGTACACTCGACCCTTAATAGACAATCGGATATCGTGGCAGCGCCACAGATGGCGTAAGATAACAACAGCCAATCGAGCCTTTTTGTACCCGTGCAGAGATTTCGTCGGTCACTAATCCACCACTGATTAACTTTTAACAATGGATGCTGCAGAAAGTTTTTACATAAAGAATGAGGGAGTAGATAACTGTTCACGAACTACAATATCGACTACGAGGTCCATGCTGCTCATCCTATTCATGAAAAACAAAACAAAAAGACGTTGAATACCACCAAAGAAGTGTAATGTTGTCCAATTAAGCTAAGTCAGTAGGGAAATACACTGTTTTCAGACTGCAGAAAGAGCATTTATCATAGAATACGCAGAATGTGACCACATGCAGTCGAATGCAACAAATCAAATTGAAGGCGCTTATTTGTCACTGAGTCAGAAAACAGATAGATTGCAAATAGAATGCGGTAGATAAGCTCTATAAAGCGGATTTTTGAACACGATCTAATATCAATTGCACAATCAAGCAAGACTGAGCGATAACCGTCAACTGTTTTATACTAGCATTGAAATCCTCATTGTTGACATCATGTCTTTCGGAATATAATAACCAAGGTGGTTTAATCAAGTTGGGGATGAAGATAGACGCTCAACAACAGCGGAAGGTGGCCTGTTATGTGACGAATTGACTAACCATTATACTTAATGTAGACAATCAGATTTTGATTTAATGGTAGACTGTAAGCCAGTTTGTCATCGAATCTCATCGTTTCAGGATCTACTTCCTTAGGTGCGTCGTAAATAAAGATGAAGTAGCTTCTTTGTTAGATGACTGGTCTAAGTTATTGATGACCTCTACAGTAGTGTTACAGTTTGTGAAGATTTATTGATTTCGAATTGGTATTCATCACGCACTGACAACAGCTGGAGAACCTGGCAGCATTGGACAGCTTTTCCTTCCTTATGTGAGACTTCTCAGTAGTGTACACCCAGTACCCTGCCAGGGATCGAACCCAGGACCTCCAGGTTTTGTGGTGAGCATATTACCACTGAGTTAGAATACAACAGTCCATATTTTCATAATCCTATCAGTTCGTAGTATAACGCAACCACCAACCAATATCATCGTTGAGTACTTGTCCTTATATCCGACTTGGTTTTTTACCACTGGTCACAACCTAGTGGCTTAATCATAGGATACTCGGCGCGAAACCTGAGGGCCTTGGGTTCGACCTTCAAAGGGGTCACAGGTTCACATTGATAAGGAGTCCCATACTAGGACGAAGTAGCTGTCCAGTGCTCCCGGGTTTTCAGTGGTTCGTCGATTGATGTCAGTCGGTGATGAGTACCAAGGTGAAAACAACAAGCTGTATTATCAAAAGGGAGATTTGGCTACTTTGTTGCCATAGTATTAGTTTGAGTAACTGGGTTGGCATCTAAACACTCACCCCTGTCGGCTCCAAAATTGTTTAAATATGCTGCTGTTTTTTCTTTTCTGTTGACATTTCTATATAGAGATTAAAGGCCGATACACAAAGTGGTTTATTAACTCAACTGATAATCTTTCGCATATCACAGCGGAAGACAGTACTATTCTCGTTGAGGAAGACAATTCGTACTATGAAGCTGTAATCTTGAAGGAGTTTTGAATAAGTCCTAGTTCTCTAATCTAATCAAATATTAGTCACTATTACAATACTGATATGCGAAAGAGAGGTAACAATGTGCCAACGGTACTATTCCTATCCCAGCTGAATTTTAGTCTCACAAATTTATCGTAGTCTTAGATGTAATCCCACATTAGCATCCTTAAGAAAGAACAAATACTAGACTTTTGTAGAAACTAACATAAATATACTACTCTAAACATATTTCGTACCAACAGTTTGTTAGTCCTTTGGATACGGCGTTTCATTCTTCAGGGGATAATTATTTGGGTCGTTGTTTCAGCTTTCTTTTAATACATACTTCTTCTGCAGATAGCCTACGTTGTCATTCTTGTTACGTATTTCTTCTCCCACATTGTCCACAATTGAAAACCTGAAGTTTATTACCTAAATGGATAACCGACTCGAATCGCTCGTTAGCTTTCTCTCGTCCGTCATCTTACCAACGCATAGGCTGTGACCAGTTCACTATTGCAGTGGCAGATAACTCCCTAAAATCAATAGCGCAAGACTCGACTATATTCAACACTGATGCTTTCATGGTTTTAACAGATTCGTTAAGCTGAGGGAATATGGTCAAACGTCGATGGTATTTAGTAAGTTGCTTGTTCACGATCTTCCAGCTAGTTCATAAATCTCTACTTATTAGCACGATTGATCAAATATACAATTCATACCTGGTTAACTGGTCGTATTCTTTGTTGTGGGATTTCAAAAAGTAAAAAATAGTACTTGACCCCTACATGCGTCAAGATCTTGTATAGACAATTCCCAAACCCTCATTCTTCTAAATCAAGACTAAAATACTTTTGACTGTACTTGAATGTGGAACAACATCTAGGTTTCCCACTTTGGACGTGAACTATGGTAACTCCTAGTAATGTAAATGCTGTTTTGAGCTGAGCTAACAAACTTTACTCGCCTTCAGGTGAAATCTATCAATCCTAGTAACCGTTTCTCTAAGATGTAAACTGAACTTCAATCTTATGAAGCCTTCCATTTTCTTTCACTCACTTCTACTGAATTACCACGCGTACCTTGCATGTTAAATTTTTCGTGAACTAGTCTATGAGACAGTTTACATGGTGAGTAAAACTTGTTTCAATCACACATTATACTTCCGTAAATTTTATAGGGGGTACATATACAACCACTAACTTCGTTTCAGAAAAGGAGTGATAACTCTTACTACCTAAATGGAACAAGAAAATAATCAAGTCTATGAACCGACATGTGGTTTTAGTTTCAGGAATGAATTACTACTATGATCTTTAATCGATGGGCATGCATAATAAACGATTCATTTGCACTGTGGAGTCGAGGGGTTTGAATAATTTCACTCTTCAGGATGTGTACAGAGAAATACACTTAATAACTGATGATACTTGACAATTTTCACTGATATTAATTGATAATTCAATGAAGTTTAAGTCAACTTTAAAAAGATGGTGATGTTTAGCTTATAAAGCTAATACAGTATCTAGTGAAATAATGGAGAATATTTGTCGTCAGAGCAAGCTACTGAATCACTCACGGAGAGATATTGACAGCTCACTTCATGCTGAAGTTAGTGCTGATGATGTCGTCTAGCGAGGCGATGAAAGCTTCACGATTAAACAACCCAGGTCAGAGAACACAATACAACCAAGACAGTATCTAGTGATAGTCAATCGTTATCAAAGTCATCAGGAAAAGAGAAATTTAACAATTTTTTGGGGAACTTCATCCTGAATTTGAAGATTTCATCTAGACTGGTACTGAAAGCTACGAGGTTCAGTTAATTTAGAGGCGGTAATGACACTAGAAGTTCCAAATCATTGGTCGACTTAAAATGTCCAACTGGGTTTATTCAACAGCTTGAAATGTAAATGATTATTTATTCGAAGTCTGTTTTTGCTTGGAAGTATGAAAAGCTTGTTAATTTAGGCTTTCTTCAAACTTGATTTATGTTGAGATACTACAGAAATCAGAGTATTTTATATTCACATGTTATGTGCTTGTATTTGTAAACGGTTGCAATTTCCTAACTCCATAACAATGGGTGATACCTTTAATTTGCTTTCGAAAAACTGCTTCATGTAAAATTTACTATGTAGTATTGATACTTTTTGCGCTAGTGTAACAATGGTAATCAATATACATGCACTTCGAGAATAAAAAGAGGGTGGGAGACAGAGATGGAGTTTTCCATCACACCGAAAGATGATATATACTGTATATCCAAGTGTTAAGATAGAAACTAGGATCGGCAGTGAATAACACATTCGGCAAATAAAACGTTCCGACACTTCATGATTGAAGGATAACAGGAAACTTTCGTCCGACGAATCATGCATATAATTGACCTCTGTATGATATATGATGAAACGCTAATCTCAACATAATAGTGCCATGTGAGGACAGTGTTAGGTCAGTTAAACATGAAATAACAAATATGCACACTGGAGGAAACAAAGGGATTTCGCTGGTGGAAAACTTTTAGCTGAAGATTACAAAATCATCCTTACCTTTTTAATAGGATCACAAATCTCATCACAATACTATATCTCTAAATCCAAGTTAACAACATCATATAATTTGGCAATTTTACTTGTGAAATACAAGGATGCAGATCAAACGACAAACAGCTATATCTGATGAAACTGGTCTAGTCACATTCGCTAGTCATCTCGACATTAGTATCACAAAGACTTAACGTGTTTTGTGAGTGAAAACGAATCTAAATTACAATAAAATAGAGAATTAATCAATCACAAAGGTGTACGCAAATCACATGCGATAAAGCATCAATTCATCGCTAACCACACTTAAATGGGTGATCACTATAGGTTTAATAATACTTGAAATACGACTAAAATATTCAAGAATAACCGAGTTGAAGGAAAACCCTGAAGTATCATCAAACAAGGTATAAATGCTATATTTGCCAACCCCAACACTTCAGTTTTAAAGGTAAAAAGTACAAAATCGCAACTAAGTTGATTATTACATCCGGGAAATTTTTCGAAAAAAAAACGGAAAAATATACAGTGGGCAGTTATTTTGAGAATGAAAAAATATGCTTTGAGAGAATTTCAGGGATGTGGGCATGTTCAATGAGAACTGAAGTATAATAGGAACAACACGCAACATATACGAGCACTTTCCCATAAGAGGAAGAGTAAAGGAGACACCCCCATAAACAATAACACAGCTGCTCGAATAAAAGTACAATATAAAGAGTTCAACACACACGGAAAGGTAGCCACATATGTGAAATGTTGTGATAATGTCAATTACCATAGAGTTAGGAACATAATTTACAGGTCCACAATGAATTTTAAGTAGTGAAAACGAGAATAATTCTAATGATTCAAGCATAATACATGGGATAAGGGAAGTCTACAAATACAGCTATCTTGATGAAGAAACGATGTTAGTACTACAAGAAGAAAGCTAGACCAATGACAACAGAGCAGACTCATCATTTGACAAAACGAAACCACAGCCAAAACAATGATGTAGCAAGAAAGTGAGTAGGGCATGTGATCTAGTGAAATCAAGGAAGCAGAAATGTAGCAGCAAACAAAAGAAGACAGTATGAAGATAGATTTAGAACTTTATGATCAACAAGAAAGTCATGGAAACAAAAATGTATAGAGGTGGAAAAATGAAATAGACGTAAGGTGTTTTTTAAAAGTATAAGAACAAAAAACAAGTGGTGTAGGATAATGTAGAAACAAACAAAATGTCTGAGGTAACATGCTACAATTTATACCCAGTCATAAAGATTCGAAGGTGGCATATTATGATCAACATGAAACACTTAGAAAACATACCGAGGGAATAACATAGTTGGCACAGATTGAATGAATCAGTTAAAGATGAAGAAACAGTTTTACATTGAAGTGAAATGAAAACTCCATCTCAGCGAATCAATCCCTTGTGCTATCAAAGAAAACACACACATACACACAGAAAAGGGAAATGACTTGAAAAAAATGCTACGCACACAATAATCCTTAACAAGAACGAAACGTTACGATCACCGGATAATGTAGCGTAAAACAACCATAAAACCCATAAGGAAACCATTCATACAAGTTTGTAAGCAATTTAGATGTGGGTTGCCATTGGAACGTCAAAGTTTGAGCCTCGCTGCCAAAGTGGGAACAATGGCACAAAGTGGCGCAAAAATAGGAACTGAAGAAGGGTATGATCTAACATAATATGTAACTGAAATACAGCTTTACAAGGAATACAACAACCGAAGCAATGAGAACAAAACAACTTTGGTTCTTGTGGGTTGCTTCCTTTCCTCCAAAAAGCATATGGATTCAAAAAGACTGACTTGAAGTAAAATAACAAGGGCCTTGACTTCACTATTGTTCAGAAATGTACAAAACTCAGTGTATTCCGGGAATGACAGAGAGATACGTTTACAGACACACTTCAGGACACTCTGCAGCGGTTACAGCTAGCGGTAGGCAACTGGATCAGAAAACTAGAGACAAGTAAACGAACGACAAGTTATGCCATCCATGAACGCATGACAGTACAGAGTACTTGTAGAATCTGATCACTGACTGAAAGCTTAGGGTTAACAAACTGCGATGTTTTATCACCCATACAGCATGTTCATTTAAATAGCTGAGATGAATAATTGTTTAAAGTGTACAAGTGTAGATGAACAACATCAACGACTGGACTTCGTAGGTTGATTTCAAAGAAAGGAACAACAGTCACTGCTACCTCCTTAAATCAAGCACCACGACCTAATAAAACAGGAGAAATATTGAATATTTTAGTACAGTAGTGTAAATGAGTTCTTAAATTTATTAGTGGGGAAAGACTCAATCTACCATGTATAGGGTAAAAAATTCCATGCATATCAATAAACAAAAGGTTGATATAAGAAATTTGAAAAGAAAACTCACAGAACCATCTGAAGCACTAGCTCCCACTTTGTCTCCTCGTGAATTCCAGCAAACTTCAAAAATGCCACCAGTCCCTTGATAGCTATTTATAAGGTTTCCAGACTAAAGGGATAAAAACAGCGTAAAGCAATCATCATACATATCCAAGATAGGATTATAACCTATTTGAGTATATTAAATACCAACCGAACTCATTCTTTATAGTTTACATAAGAGCTTAGATTATGGGGGGGTGATGCAAAATAATCTACTGTATTCATTGATGTGACGTATATGAACGCTGAATTTCACTCAAATAATGAAGCAATAATCATTTTGTAGCAGATGGATGATAAGTTAACGAAACTAAGACGACGGATGATATATGTCAGAAACGAAATAACCAGCTAACTAGACAGTGAAATTAATATAAGTGTAAAACTTGGGCACTGTGGTCGAGTGTAATTCCATTTTAGTCTGTTTATTAGAAATATCACACAGTGAAACAGTAGCATTTACTGGATAACGTTTCGGACATAATTTATTGTCCAATGAAATAAATATTTCAGTTGAGCAGAAAGTAACTGATAGACTACAAGCCATTTAATTAATTCAAGAAAGCAGATAACGATTATGACATACTCATAATAGCATCGGTCATAGTTTGAAGTAGATGTTGCAATCGAGTGATGTTACAGTACGCTATTCATAACAGCAAAGAATAAGTCAGGCTACTCTAATTTCAATCCTACAGCAAACGGTAGATGCACAAAGGTAGATGGAAAGTTGCGTTGACGAATAGGTCATTAAAATCTCCTATGACCTTTCTACTTTGGAAAGGAAGACTTATTCAGGTTGCTTTCAAAATAATCAGACCACAATAATAAAAGTCACATCGACCAATGAGAGAGACGAAAATGAAACAATCAATACGATGCATGTGTGGACCATTAAAAACACACAGACAAGTTTGTTACCTGGCTAAAAGAATAGAGGGTAGAAGAATGGCTTGACACCGTAGGATATCAAGAATAGACACTGAAACATCCCTAAAAAATCTGGTCTACCTCACTAAATTTTTCAGACAGAAAGGAAACCAAAGAACAAAGTATGCAGAGACAAAAGTACGAAAGGACAGAAGCGTATCGACTAAAAAATGTGTTACTCAACTCGATTAAACTTTCGAACAGCTAAAAGCTAGTCTAATGGTACAATCGAATGAAGTTACTAAATGACGGATGCACAATTATCCCGTGATGATAAAAAAAAATAATAATGGTAACCAAAGATTGTGATATTCTGTAATCATACAGGATCAGGACTAGTTAAAACTACTGTACTAATAGTATAATTGTTTTTATATCGTACTGTCGTTGATTGGACCGAATTGATCGGTCTCTATTGGCATATGGGCTCCTGTGCAGATGCCTCGATATTGCCTGCGTTACAGGTACATCCACCAGCTGACGAGTCCCAATTAGGACGAAATGAGCATCCTGGATCCCATTGCTAGCCATGATCAATCATTAACATAATTAGAGCGCAGGCAATATCGAAGCATCCGCACAGGAGCCCATATGCCAATAGAGACCGATCAATTCGATCCAATCAACGACGGTATCATATAAAAACAACTATACTAAAAACTATACCCGTCACACAAACAGTGGCTATAGTGGCTCGGTGGTGTAGTGGATAACGCGCTGGCGTTTGGAGCGATCGCTCCGGAGTCCGAACTCCGGTGGGAACAACATCACTCACTGGGAAGCAGGTACATCCAGCTGACGAGTCCCAAATAGGACGAAATGCGCATCCTGGATTCCACTGCTAGCCACGATCCACCATTAACATTACTGTACTAATAATTCTGCACAAAACAGTTGACTTTCTACCTGCACCTGATCGCAGAAACTCGACCTTGGATCCAGAATGGAAGATAGTATAGAAGAGTTATCCATAGTCATATTAAATCTCTTGACATTAAACAATCGGTTTTATCTCTACTAGGTTTCATTTCTTCCTAATCAGAGTGGTCACAAAACTCACTCTATTTTGTGCAGTACGAATTATACTGACAAATCCAATCTATCGGGGATGTATATTTCTTTGTTTAATCAAACTTATTATTTCTAAATATCTCAATTAGAAAGAGTAGGCGACAAGGCAATTCAATACAACGTAAAGATATTTTCAAACATTTAATACCTTTTATGAATTTGGATGACGTAATTAGAAGGCGTAGTTTAGTATGGCGCAAATGTATTCCATTTTTTGAGATAAACAAAGTCTTCGAATAAGTGAAGAGATTTCCTGCATAGTGTATGCTTTGCTGTAAGTGATACTTACTAAGCAGGCAATAAATCAAAAGTTGGTACTGTACTAAGAGAAATCTTAGTATGAACCACCTCATTACACAATTAAAGAGTTGACAAAAATAGGTAAAAACTTACATCAACATTCCATATATGAACACATTGGTCAAATGAACCAGTTGCCAAAAGACGACCATCAGGACTGAATGCAACGCTATATACAGGTTCAGTATGTCTTGATAAGATTCGTCGGCATTGACCTGTTTCAACCTCCCATAACCGAACTGTGGAATCAAAACTGGCACTGGAAAACAAAAATCAATTGAGCAAAGTCAATATCATTTTTATCAATTGATTTAATTGAACCTAATATGTTGCTTCCAGCCTAAACAAAGTAGTAATGACAATGGAATGCCTTTACTATGTAATTAACGAATTTGTCCAGCAAGTTACTTTGAGTTTATGGATGTGATGTTGTTGATCAGTAATCAACAGAAGTAAAACAAAACAACGAATCACAAGACGGGATGATTGGAAGAGAACTTACAGTTTCAGTAGCCTGACTACACTCAAATGTGGTAGATGGTCGAGAATCTGCACAATTTGAATTTTAAAAAAGTTGTACCACTACTTTTGACTGCAACCCTGAATAAAGCCTTAAGTAAAGCTATAACAAAGCCGTATAGTGGAGACAGACAGTCAATTCAAAATAATACAAGTGTGCTATCAACGAAGTCAAGACTTTTCAACTTGACAGAAAACTTGCAGACATTTCAGAACTGAGCATAGAGTAGTGTAGGCATCTGAAAACGCATGTGGCCAGGTTATATATTTAGATCAGTAACGCATAAAAGTTAACCACATAAAGATCGATAAACGTTAAAACGTCTGTCACATACCGGTCACAACAACATATATTTCAGATCGATAGGCAGACACACATAAAAGAAAGCCTGTCTGTCTAGCCACCTAACTTTTTGTATCATAAACTAACACCAATCATCTTTCCGTTTTAGCCTATTCATAGTATGCTAAGTAAGACAGGCTTTGGACCTAACGATCGATCCAGACGATAATAAAAAAGGAGGTTGACTTGTAAGATCAATACGCGTAAGGACTCTTCGATCAGTTTTTTCATTGTCCTGGCAACCAATGAAAATAATGTTGGAAACAAGCCGTAAGACAAATTTTATCCGTCTAGTTGAAACGGGTGCTATCGAACAGAAAGAAAATGTAGAGAATGGAAATATTCTAATGGAAGCTTAAAACACCCATATTCCTGAAATCTGACATAATGGATATAGGGAGGTAAGTGTAGCAGTTGAAGTATGATCGAGTAGAATTCCTGGTGAACTGGAAGTGCAAATGACTATCTATATATTGATATACAGGTGAAAAAAGCTTGGCATAGTTACTAATAGGGCATAACTTATAAACGCGGAGCCAGTAGAGGTTCAGAAAAGAAACTTGCAACACTAAACAGTTTTAGCAACAACAGTAAAGATAATTACACGACTCAACGGACGGAGTCTCAGAATAGTGATTGGCTTCAAGTGAAATATTTTTATGCACTCAGAAAAAGCAGAAATGTGATTATACAAGTATGAATTTAACAAAGTGGAGGTTTTACTCTGTGAATTTTTATCCTTTAAAATTGCTGACGAGAAAGGTTTCACCTATGACGTATACTGAGTAACAAAAAGGCTTTGATTTATAGTGTGAAGAAACCTTTAGGTCTCTATCCTGACATATAGGTGTGTTGGAAGCATCCGATTACAGGTGTTATTGCTAAGTATTAAAAGTTAAAATGTGACTTCGTGACATTTGTTCCACACGTATAAAAAACATCCAATCTCAACAATAAAAGGACACTCTGACGATAACATAAAGCAGATGAAACTGTATCATTTAATGATAAAAACTATAATCTCATTGAAGAATTTGATTCTAAAAATAAAGTTTAAATACTCACCTAGCAAGACAAAGGGGAGAACTAGCAAAAGCAGTCCCAGGACCTGTAGGACTCCATTTTATGGTATAAATCTCTTTGGTATGACCTCGAAGGTCATGCACACAACGATCATGATGCATATCCCAAACTTTCAGTGTCATGTCGTCTGAACACGAAGCCAAAAGTCGACCATTAGGATCCCATTTAATTGCGTTGACTTCATTCTGAAGAAAAATTGGTATAATGAACGGCATTGAATACAATTTGCAAAGCATACATCACATATAGTTGATAAAGACTAAGGTTTACTATGGAAATACAATAGAGTATACTCAGTGTATTGTATATTATTTTAATCAGAGTTGAACGATATGCACACATCATCATGCCTTATGCAGATTACCATGATATATGAAGATGAATAAAGTGAATAAGTAAGACAACTGAACAAATAACTTTAGAAACATATTTTTTCAGAAAGTTCAGTGGGCAAACTACACTTCACTCTTTGAATTACCTCTTTATATTGCACACTGTTTGACTGCAGAAAAAGCACAGTCAAGCATTAAAGATGAATGCACCACGGCTAGTGTTGTGATTTTTGAAGCGTGATACATATCACCATATGCTGTTCAACATATGATACTAAAACACGCCCCTGACATGTCTAGTGTAATTGAAGGTGTAGATTACGCCTTGTTATTATGATAAGTTTACACGCTAGGAGACCAGAAAGCAACAATCGCTCACCTCATGACCTTGGAATGTTTTTACAGGCGAAGAGCAACCCAACTGGCAAACATGAATATTCGTGTCCGTTGAACAAGATGCAAAACTATCCATCGATTGCCAATCAACATCCAATGTAGGAGCTGAGATTAAAAGAAAATCAACAGTGGTTGACACGGTAGTTAAGATGGGACTGTTTATACTGATAGACACAAAATTCTTATTAAACATTCTTTATTAGTATACGTGTAAAATATACATGTCGCACTACCTTGCTATTTAGCGAAAGAGAACGAAGTTGATTCCTAAGATACTTAGAAGGATGTTTCACATAGGACATCATCCTTTATCTGTGGACACCCCATGGAGCCAGACGTTTCAATCTATCTCGACTCACCTTCTAAAATTATATACAGAGTTCAAATGAAGGAATTCAAAATACTACTGCCTTAACCACCTGTACATAACCGCAGGACTAATGATGCATCAACAAAAGCCTGCACCCTACGTTTGAAAAGGTTTTGCAAAGCCTCTATCAATCACCGAAGTGTGTCGTACAATTGTAATTCAATGAAGAATGTTAACTCAGACTCATAAAAGTAGTTAAACAAGGGTAAACTAGCTGTAGTGCTACAGAAGGCAACCGCTTGTTCACAATGGATGTTTTATCTGAATATTTCCTACAAGGTTTGTAGGCGAAATGCTATCCAAGGGAATTTTTATGTTCGACTGTTTATGAAACGGATTCTTATGCACATATCAAATAAGATGTTGCTTAACACCCAGTTGTACTTTTTGTACACTGAACGAGAATTTGGTAGTCTGAGTAAAATGGTGCGTTGTAGTATAACCGATTAGAGCAGCTAAGAAAGTAAAAGTCAGAGGTGAAACACGTTGTATGAGAAGGGTACAAAAAGACAATGACTGTGCGAATGGCCTACACCTCGCTATTTAGACATGCAGCAGCGTGAATCGAAGAAGCAATGTAATACGCCTTTATGATGGGATGAAACTATCGGGATGATGTAAACATGCGTTTCGTGAAAAAAAAGACTTTACATTTGTATGAATTATTGGTTACAATAAACTGACGACACATTTTTCTTTACATCCGGAAGGCTCAACGCTACGTCCACTTAAATACTACACTTGAATAGGATACCTCAGCTAAACATGGAAAAAATTTGTGGCAGTACAAGATATAGGTAACCTTGAACTCTTCTGCGGAAAGGATATAGAAATGAAAGCAAGAAACATATAACTTGAATGTGAAACAAATACATTGTTTTACCAACCACTTCTGAAATACTTTCCTAGCAGTCAAACAAACATTATTCAAGCATATAGGAATGCACAGAAGAGAGAGGGAATTGATATACTTATGTCGATAAACACTAAACAGACACTAAACAAAAACAATCCAACTTAGTGGGTTGTTCGCATAGCTCCCAACAGTTTTATATATTTATATACAATATATTTAATAAATACTAAGGTCATGAATGAATAAACAACATTGTTAAGAAATGTACTAATTTTTTTTAAGGAAAATTTACTATCAATCATTTGTAAACATTAATAAAGAGTATCGTTGAAGGAACTTACCAACATGAAATGCGAACTGCTGAGCGATCCTACCAGTTTGTGCCTCCCATATAATGGTCGTCTGAAATATGAAAAAGATATGACATGTAGAGAAAAACCCTACAGATTAATTAAAAGTAAAAGCACAAATGCACTGGTGTTCTTTCGAATTGTGAGTGTAATCAAATAATCTCATTTGCAACAACTGAATGTTTGGAGTATGAGGAATTTGTAATAGAAATATATGATAAGTAGTAGTAGTTTATCAGAAAGTATGGAAACCATTTTATATCAGTGACTCCGGTGCCTAAAGTGCAAGTTGAACATTAACTGTAACTTAGGTGGAAGCAGACAGAGAGTAGAAGTCATATTGAGCGTCAATAATTAACAACAAATACAAAAAGAAGGAATGAGTACACAATAGACCCAGAAGCCTGTAATTCCGCAGCAGTGTACTCTATAACACGTGACATACTTTCCACGAATAGATACCGACAACCAAATGCATTGTACTATTCGTATTGGCGATACTGAAGTGTCTTGAGGAATACCCAAGTAGAGAACTGTAAGAATAAGATTATATACAAAGGGAGTTACACTGTGTTTGCTTGAGTTGGGAAGGAGTAAGTGAAAGAAGACAATTTATGCAGAAGGCACGCTTAGCAAGAGAAGTGACTGAATAAATTGCAGAAAAGTTATGCAACAATAGTGTCACACAAAAAGGGAAAGAAGTGAATTCCCAGAGCCTTAGCAAAAACGATTTTCACCATTCTGGGTAAAACATAAAACGTTCCCCTACCGATAGTTGCTAATCTAGACGTGATGGTCAAGCTCACATACCACAACGACCCGACGAGCAATGTCGGTGGAACGCTTTTTGCCTGGGGTCTGTTAGGTAGTGGTAAGACGAAATGCAGTCACCGTTGTAGTGCGAATTACTAAACTGTGGTAGGGGTCTGAGGGGGATAGGGTGCGACAGCAGTAGGGTGTTTTCCTTAGATGACCAGCGGTGCCACGCCGATGCTGTCTTCCCAACAGGGAGGAGAGGGGTAGAAAAGATCGGATTCAAAAATAACACACCTCCTACGCGGAGGTACGGGTTTCTTCTTATCCGGTGTTACAACAACTTAACCTCAAAAAACATCCTCCAGAAGGCCAGGTGCGACAGACCTCAAACAGATGTTTCATGGGGTCTGAAATCACAGGAACATTTTTCTTTTTCAGGTACTTTAAGAAGAAATAGCCTTCCACAGTATGGGCAGGTGGGAATCGCCAACTACCTACACACTTCCAGTAGTACATAAGACCCCACAAACTCAACCCAACTTCAAATCTGCATCCTTTTTTGCCTGCCTCTCCTGATACTAATATAGAGCCTCTTACGCCTCACCAAACCTCCAACTCTGCAAACACTGTAAACAAACAGAGACATCGGAATATTATTCTTAGTCCCCTAAGACCCCGTCTGCCATTCATTTCATGTGAGAGCTCTAAACGTCCTAACTCTATGCCAAGTCTGACAGCAAGTGTCGCTCGCCAAAACTCTGGAAACTCAATCCACAGATATATCCTGTGTCTCTGAGACACATATACAGGACCCCAATGTGGTAATAAAAGTGACTGTACCTGGCCATCGATGGTATTTTCACCCTAAAACAGATTCTGGAACACAGACATACCAACACGCAATATTTCTTGACCTGAAGGCGACATCTGACTATGTCGACTGTGGGGTGTTGTAGCAGTGTCTGACTGTGAAGGGAGTACACAACAAGTACATAATACTTATCAAAGCTCTCTCTACTTGAACTCACGCAGGCCGTGTACAGGTATATGAAGAGTTTTCGTCAGAATTTATGAAAACTAATGGTGTTCATCATGGATGCCCACTGTTCCTGTTTAACCTAGTCATAGACGTACTAGTGGACATAACAGGTACGTCTGACTCCACAGGGATTGATTTACTTCCTATAGGTAACCTAGTTGACTTGGAACATGCAGAAAATATTGTCCTCCTGAGTTAAAACGCTGACAAAATGCAGGTTCTTTCGCAGGCGTTCGGTAGAGATGTATGTTTGGCACGCGTCTCGCAGCTATCAGATGCAAGATGATGCTTCAGGATTGGTGAGCAACGACGCGCAGCTTAGTGATAGGGAGTGAAGTGGTGGAATATATCGACCATTTCACTTACTTGAGGAGTTGTATCAGCACGAACGGTCTGGTTGCTGATGAAATGTCAGCTCAGATACAAAGGGCCATTTTAGCATTTACCAACTTGCGTCACCTGTGGCGTCGGTGAGATATCCAGCTGTCTATCAGAGTGTGGGTATACTGAGCACCAGTTCATCCTGTCCTGTTGTACGACTGTGAGACATGGTAGTTACATGGAAGACATGAAACAGTTAGTTTTCCGACCATAGGTGTCTCCGTAGCATTCCTCGCATGTGGTGGAACCACCGTATGAACAATGTTGAGGTCAGACGAAGGGTACTAGGCAAGTCGATTGATGAATTTGTGAACCTTCAACGACTGTCGTGGCTTGAACATGTACTGCGCATGCCCAGCGAGCCACCGCCTACCTCAACGTGTCATGCGACGAGAAGTTGGATCAGAATGGAAAAGGGTTCAGGGTGGCCAGACTAAGACCTGGTACTAGTCAATGAAGTCCTTGACTGTTGGTCTGATTCGTGTGGGGAGATGTAGACTGTCTGCCTGGGGTCACCGAGATGACAAGAATCAGTGGTTGAGAACTCTTGGTGCTATGACTGAAAATCGATCACAATGGCGCAGATATATTCACTCCCTAACATCATCTCAAGCTCTAATATTCACGCTAACCTTTATCTTCAGATTGCTTATTCTCTTTACTGTATCTACTTTGATATCCCTCTTTTTATCCACTTGTTCTTTGTGTGCTACTGTGACGTGTGGCAACTTGAGCCGATACACCTGCGTGCGGCTGTCTACGTTGATTTTGTCAGTCAGACACAAAACCTTCGTTGCAGAATGAAATTTCTAAAGCTACGGAACCAGCAGATAAATATCTATATGATTTTTCATATCCTGCTAACGAAAGATAATAAAAAGGGATCAGCATCAGACTGTCACCGTGATAAGTAATAGCGGTTTGAGTTCTATCGAAAGACTATCACATCAGTAATTACGCTTATCCGTAAAAGCTTAACTATGACAGCAAGATTCACAATTATTGTTTAAACTGAAATAAGTAGATCAAAGGAAGGATAAAAGAATTACAGTTATTTCAAGGTAGATTGTCTTATGAATTAAGAAACTGGATACAGATAAAAGTGAGAAACTGGAAAAATAACCGTAAACTAGGAGTCATGAGATACCTAGTATGTGAGCGTTATATGGCTGTCCGGTTGAAGATATATTGGACTTTCATCCATGATTCAGTGATTGGTAATCAAAGGCCTACACTATATATAGTTCATTGCCAGTTGGTTTAATTAGCTGTTTACTATAAGTCAGGAAAGCCACGGCAATTTAACATAATTGTCAGGCAAGTATCTCATGAACTTATCTAATAACTTAACTCAGAATAGATATTGCATATTGACTTTTCAGTTAAAAGCCTATTTAGTATGAACATTCGAGACGCATACCAATAGAGACACAATAAAGTAGTAAAATTAATACTTTTAGAATAAATGCGCAAACTACATACATTTTTGAAAAAAGGGATAGATGCGTTGACATAAAGACTTTCTTCTTAACTATTGATTCACGATGCGTTTACTAGTTTCGGGCAATAAGGGGATGTAAAAAACTAGACATGGACATGTCTGGACAAAATCACTATAGCGTAGTATGGGAGCTTATGGACTTGACAACAGTATTTAGATTGGTTAGCTAAGGATCTGGGGAATCCCTTTCAAGTGCTTTGGTCTGGATAACTAGACAGTATCACAGGTGGCTCTCCCACCCCCATACACCCAAGTAGCTGTTTTGATCAACAAATACTCAAATGTGATAACATTGATGAAAATAATATGCATGTACGCATAAATAACATGCCATTTATCGGTTTACATTGAGTAAATCAGCTAACCTTGTCAACCCCTGCTGTGAGAATATAGTTGCCCTTCTTGTTCCATTTCAGGGCAAAAATAGGTCCTTTATGTTGACCGAGAGTTGTTGCCAAACGACCTGAAATAAATTATTTTAAAATTTGTCAAGGAGAGAAAAAGTCGACACAAACGTAATAGCATCTAACCAACTCGAAGAGTAAATGATAAGCCCAGTAATTAAAACAAAAAGATCCGCAATTAGTCCTACACGTCCGTTTTAAGATATTTTGCTCAGTGCATAATAAACCAGGAAGCAATGAAACAAACCCTCACCATGAATTCCCTAGTGTAACATAGCTTAATGGTTAGGAGAACCTGTTAAATTTGAGTTCGATGTTCTAGACTGCTTCTAATCAAAGTTATAAACATGATAAATGCTCTTGATTAGCAATTACTAATCCATTAGATCCAAGTCATCGCCTTTTTTTGAGGGCAGTTCTTTCTACTAAAATCTAATGGTTCACCAGCCGTATCTTGTACGAGATAATTTTTCCGATAAGTAACGTGGTAAAGGTTAATGTACTTGTTTGTGATCTACACAAAATCCGTTTAATATACTACTCTTTATATAAATGAAATGTTAAAAAATAAGAATTATATTAAGATTAACAACGGATACGACATGATTACAGTAATGGGATATTTAAGCTAAAGAGGATGAGAAGCAGAACTGAAATATGTTTTGAAATGTTGACTCTAAATGCTACAAGCACTAGAACCAAGAACATAGCATAGCTCACTCACAGTGACTTCAAGTAATGGTTCTACACCTCAGATTGACCACCTTTAGCCTCTCTTCAAACCTGACACCAGTTTAGTGTGTTCCGCATTTCTACTACATAAGAGCGATATTGCCAGAGTATGTATGACCGAATCTATGTAAACTAACTACATGAGCTTTGAATGGATGTTTTACTAAGTATATATCAGCAAGATACGTTTGGAAAGACCCACCAGTTGAAAGTTAAAGACATAGACTAGTAAGATAGGGCTTTACCCACCAAACAGGGATCGGGGTAACCAATAAGAGAAAGTGAAAACTGCTATTTAGATGAATCAGTTGGAAAAACTGAACTATTTCTTCAAATCCAGCACTATGAAGGAAAGAAAGCCATGACGGAGGAAGATGTAACTAAAACTTTATGCAGGACCTGGGAACAAAATCTATTTTGAACTTAGTGTGATACGTATAAAACCACAATTGCTTACTGAAAACAGGGAAGAGCATAAATTAGTTAACTTACCGTCAGTGTTCCACACTCGAGCAAATCCGTCGTACGATCCAGTGGCTAAGAAACTCCCATCAGACTAAGGAAGGAAAATGAAGGGGTTAGCGGTCAGACTACAAGTTATCACTTGAAATGGCTTGGAAGAAGTTAAAAGTTAAGCAGAATCTAAACAAATATAGAGAAACAAATCCTGATTTTACCGCCTGAGTCACTCATTTAACAAAGCTAATCCCAAACTAACGACACAGGATCATAAATAAAATCTGTTTACAGATTAGAGTGCACATAGTATATTCGCCACAAAGAATTAACCTAAAAGCATGGATATTGTTAAGGAAACTAGTGAAAGGAATCCAATCTCTACTAGTAAACTGGAATAAATGAAAAATATTTATACCAGTAAGATGTTTTGAATATGAAACACTTCCACTCACATTACAGATATCTTTCTGTTACTGGGTGATGTCGGTTGCCATGAAAAGGTTCACAAACCACAAACTTTATAATCAAAAATTTCGTAAATGGCTATAGATGTCATGTACAGAATTCGAAACTGAGGAAAGAAGAATGAGGATGTATCGGGGCGAATAGTACTTAGTTGCGAGCTTACCAGCTGATTGTTGCTTAGCTATATAACATTATTAACCACTTATTTAATCAGTCAACTAACCCTTTGTGGCAAAAATAGCTGTTGTCGAACAGGACTACATTGTAAGTATGAAAGTTTGATAGTTATATGTAGTGTTTTGTGGACCTAACACAACCATTCTAATAGGCGAAGTGCTGCTGAATGGACAAATGAGTGGAAACAAAATAATCAATCTTAGGGAGACGTCAAGAAGTGAATATATCTGCGTCATTATGATCGATTTTCAGTCATAGCACCAAGAGTTCTCAACCACTGATTCTTGTCATCTCAGTGACCCCAGGCAGACAGTCTACATCTCCCCACACGAATCAGACCAACAGTCAAGGACTTCATTGACTAGTACCAGGTCTTAGTCTGGCCACCCTGAACCCTTTTCCATTCTGATCCAACTTCTCGTCGCATGACACGTTGAGGTAGGCGGTGGCTCGCTGGGCATGCGCAGTACATGTTCAAGCCACGACAGTCGTTGAAGGTTCATCATCAACCGACCTGCCTATTTTGCCTAGAAAAGTCAACTTATAGAGCTATATTCAAAAACAGATTTCTTGCTAAGTTGCACATAGCAGACAATTATGACATTGTTCAAATACTACTAAACAAAATGAATAAGAAAGGATACATATAAAACTAAGGCCGGGGTAAGACAAATCGATCTATAGATGCAGCCAGTTGGCAAAGCTATTAACCCCTATTGAATTTCAATCTCATTTTCCTACCCAGCAATTTAAAACTTTTGGAACATATGTATTATAGGCTAGAAGGACACATTGGGCAGATTGATCAGATTAGAAAGGGAGTGAATACTGTGTACATTCCACACACAAAGTGATGAGTCACAGAACAGAAATATATACTGACAAGGTTGTTTGGAAGAATGAAAAGGTGACTAATACTAACGCGTAAACTTATTGATTAAAAAGCTGTCGGTACAGCAATGCATAACAATCGACTGAGGAATTTTCGCAACAAGTGTATGGGATAAGAGTCAATCCAGAGTACAAAAAGTTAATAAACTTAATGACTTACATTCCAATCCAGAGAGGTAACATCCTTGTTACTCAACACTGTTTGGCCGTCAAGATTTACCCAATGCGTTAAAACTAGCTGAGGGACGTGGTGAGCATTCGTGATAGGCTCTTCAAGATTCCATATCCGTGCTGTTGAATCACCAGAGCTGAGATAATCAGAAGATAAAGCACAAAGTACTAGAATGGACTAAAAGCAGGAAATACTAAGCGATAACAAACCTATTGCTACAGACGTCTAGTTTCTGAGATAAATAATGGTATAATGAAATGATGGGAAAACAGTGACCAGTAGAACTGCAGCCAATAACAAAGGTGCTTTTATAATTTGTTTCTATTATCCATGTCTTTGAATGAGAAGTATGCAGTTTATAGGTGTAATTTAGCTTTTAGAACCACAGTGTTACATTACTGTTTAGATTAAATTTGGGGATTCGAAGTTGAGGTGAGTGCCCTAGTACAGTGAACAATAAGCAACAATGCCACCTAACCGAGTACAAGTTTATGTACCAAGCTATGCCAACAAGGACTAATGAAACTAACCGGTCACTATATCAGAGTAGGTGAAGCGAGGCTCAAATCAGTGAACTAAGCTTACGAGTTGAGTGCAAAGTCAGTGAACTACATCTCCACTCAGCAAACCGGAGCTATGCTCCACTCGAGCTTCAGCCAATAGGTAAGGTTTCAAGTCATGCTATATCTACTAAGATAGGGACATCAAGGTAGTATCGTTAGTCTTACGCAATAGGTGGAGCTCATCGCACCATCACCATTTCGTGTTATTCCGGTCGTAAAAGTCATTAGTTTTAACAAAGTGCTAACTGAATAATTTTGGAGTCGGCTGACCAAAAACAGGGAATGAAAATTCTAAATTGGCTGAAATATTCTAGAATGAATGCCAGTCAGTAGCTAAGTTCAAGCGTTTCCATTGGCTTAGATACAAGATTACACTTAACTACTCATCGATTAGAATATGATCTCACTTGGCAACAACTGAGCAGTCGTATATTTTTGTCTACCCTCGTGCAGTACATCTAGCTTACGGTCGATCACACAAGTCAGCTCATGATTGGTTGCTCAATTTTACAATAGTTTACTGCAAAACTGTCACAGTCGTCTGAGTTACTGCAGTTATGTAACAACGCCCAGCAGAAATCCACTGGAGCTCTGAACCTGCTTCTTAGGTGCTAACACTATCAACATTAGTGAGTTGTGTCTTGAATGACTGATGAGTAGGAAACTTAGAATAGCGTTTGCTTCATCAAAAGAAACTCACCCAGATGCTAGCATATCGTTGCGGGGATTCCATGCACAGATGAAAACTTCAGACTGATGACCCTTCAAAACAGTAATTCGTTCAGGTGGGATTTGTCTTGAGAGTAGAGGAGATGTGTTATTTACTTCCGCAACATGTACTCGGTCAACTTCCATAGTATCATTACCACGATAGTGATTAACTGTAAAATAAGGAAGGTAGTGTTAAAAGATATGGTGAATTAATACGATTGCGAGACCAAACAGCATTACTCACCTTAATTACACAGGAAAACAATTTTAAGTAAAATCCATAGTAACCTTGAGATACCATATGAAAGTGAAGTAGTTGGACACATATTTGAATGTGAAAATACAGAAACTTTACGCTAAGATGGAATTATGATTACAGAACGAGATGTGGACCGCATCAAAATAGAATAATGCAGCTTAAGCCATTGAGGGTACTAGGCTAAAAACCAGATTTATCATGTCCCCGTCAGTCAGTTAGTCGATATTAACATTACTGCGTAACCGCCCAAATTCCTATATCCCATATCAAGATACAAGGAAACAGTACGAACTATATGAAATTTATACAGCGTTACTCAAAGGAATTGATTTTGATCACCTGGGATTACGTAAGGCATTATCTGATGGCTATTATGAACTCAAATCAAGTCATATGTAATGCTGGCATTGTCTTTTAAGCAAGTCAACTGCAGAGAATTCTACGATTATTTGACACTAACGACTGACTACTATAAAGAGAATCTTGCTGCTAGCAACCTTTACTGATTATTTGATCAATAAATAAGTACACAAATGTAGGATCTAGAGAAGTTACCGGAAAAGATATTTCATGTTCATCTAATTGCTTTCTGAATCTAATGAGTAGTAAAAAGCCACTGAACAAACGGAAGACTCAGCGATTCCGTAGCCTAGTCGCCAATGCTTTGGCACTTCGTTTCAGTCTCAATGGAAACGCCACCATTTACTAGGACGTAGGTATATCTAGCGATCACGTTCCTAAATAGGATGAAGCGTATATTATGAAATCTATTACTAAGGAACACCAAGTAAATAACAAAAAAGGCAATAAAGTAAACAATGAAATGTAATCCAACTATTAAAATAATATGAACTGGATGCATTTACGCCACTAAGATTACTTCGGAGCCACAACACCCGTAGTAACCAACCATCAATTTCAGTTACACACAAACCCCAACCTTCAAGTCTACATTTCCGTATGCGATGCAGATAAAGTGGGTACCTTTGTGAACTGATGTCACGTTTCAATCAGACCCTTTTGAGGTTTTTTCCTGCTTTAATTTGCCGACGCTGTGTAGTGGAAACAACCAATCGGCATGTTCAACACACCTAATCCCCTCCCTATTGTCAGGTGAAGTACAAACTCAGATGAGCTACGAAGCAATTATACACATTCAACTCATCACCAGGCATTACTGCGTAACGGTTCGAGTTGCCACGCCTCATATCAATACATCAAGTAAAAAAGCAGTGAAGTGCAAGATAAAGATAAGAAAATTCAGTCAAAAGAAATATAAAGTACGAAAAGAGAGAAATGAAGAATGGTAAAATGGTGAGATTCGGTATAATGTTAAGAGGAGGATAATATGCGTACATCTGCTCCACTGACGTCGGTTCTGAGCCATATCACCTAGAGCCTCCGGCCACTGGTTCCTCTTGTCCCACGGACCCCAACCACCTAGTCTGCATCGCCCCACATGGCTCAAACCAACAGTCAAAGACTTCATACATTGGTGCCATGTTTTAGTCTGGTCACCTCGGGCCTTTTTACAGCCTGGACCTACCTCGGCCAACATTGTGTGACGAGCCAATCGGTGACTAGGCAGATGTAACACGTGTCCCAACCATCTCAGTCGATGAAGGTTCATAACCTCGTCAACTGACTCACCTCTTCTCCCTAAAACTCTACACCTGACTTATGCGTTACTCACATGGTGACACCACGGAATATGACCTGTACTACGAAGTCAATGGTGGTCAAACACTTGAAGCCTTCTCATGTCTTCTACCTTCAATGGTTATGTTTCACAGCCATACAGTCGAACAGATTGGACCCCTGCGCAGTACACGCGACTCTTAATAGACAACTGGATATCTCGGCGGCGCCATAGGTGGCGTAAGTTGGCGAAAGTCAATCGAGCCTTTTGTATTCGTGCAGAGATCCCATCGGCCACTGAGCCACCAGGGTTGATCCTACTTCCCAGGTAAGTGAAGTGGTCAACACACTCAACCACTTCACTCTCTATTGTTAACCGCGGTACCGCTTAAGACCAGTCCTGGGGCAAAAATTTGCATTTGGGTGGTGAAAATCGCATCCCAAACATTCTCAAATTCCCACTAAAAGTGTTCAGAAGACTTGTCAGCGTCTTCACCTAATAGCACTATGTTATCTGCATATTCTAGATCTAAAGAAACTTCACCTGTGATTAGGTCAACGTCTGTGTAATCAGGTGACGAGATGGAGACCTCCATAAGAATATCTATGATAAAATTAAATAAGAATGGCGACAGTGGGCACCCTTGATGGACACCACTCGATGAGCACGTCTCCCCGGAAATCTCACCATAGGCTCTGACACGCCCACAAGTGTTCGAGTAGAAAGCCTTCAATAAGGTGATGTACTTACTCGGCAAGTCTTTCAGTGAGAGAGATTGCCACAGACTTCTCGATCAGTGGAGTCGAATGCCGCCTTTAGGTCGAGGAATACAGCTAGTGTCAGGCGTCGGTAAGCGTGCCTATGTTCCAGGACCTGGCGCAGTGTGAATATTTGGTCGATACACCCGTGGCTGGGTCTAAAGTGTGCCTGTCTGGCTTTCTCGGGCTTGCTGTTCACGAGCTCCACTCAGGCGTAGAAGAATTATAGAGCCTAGGATCTCGGACATTATGTTCGTCGGGCTGATTCCTCTGTGGTTAGCACAAGAAGACTTTTCGCCTTTCTTGAAGACTGGGATAATCAATGATTTAGACCAATCAGAGGGGATTGTATGTGATTCCCATATACTGGTTAACACTTCCGTTAACCTGACTAAGAGCATCTTACCACCATCCTTGTATACCTCTGGAGTTAGTTCGTCTGGTCCTGCTGCCCTCCTCGTTTCAGGTTACCTACTGCTTTCTCGACTTCTCCTAGTGTTGGGGGGCCTACTTCAGTGTTACACTCAGGATCCGACTGGATAGCGAGTAACGCAATGGTGGTTGAAGGCCAGCTGAACTGTTCCTCGAAGTGTTCTGCCCATCGTTCCAGTCTTCTCCTCTGCAAGTGAATCACAGATCCGTCCTTCTCCGCTATAGCCTCACTAACCTGCTGCCCCCTGGTTTCAGGGTACCTACTGCTTTCTCGACTTTTGTTAGAGTCGGCGGGCCTATCTTAACTGCCCTAATACGAAGGCAGTTGACATCTGAGTACGTACATAGCAGATACCTGGAAAAAAGTGAATTAGTAAGGACGGCTATATCAAACTAGGTATGTGACTCTAGTCAAAAGAACAACTACCAGAGGAAACAGTATAAGATAGTGAAGAGGGATATATTTGTGTGCTGTTGGAAGCATGTGAGTAGTTAGTAATTTTTTGGTTACCTAAATAGTAGAGCGGGATGCATTCTTTATGGATTAACAACAATTACGTTTTTATTGCATAACCCAACAACTAAAGGGTCTAGTCAAAGCCTGGGACGTAGAAAGTTTCTGAAAGTGTTCGTGGTGTTTCATCTCCCATTTAAAGAGCTTTACAAGCAAAAGTGGAAAACGATGAAACAAGGTGGGAAGCAGGGTTCTCAATGCCCTTTATTTTTTAAGCCTTAGAGACGGAAGACAATAAAATAATGTAACTTGACTGGGTACGTGCACTAGGGCACATGCATTAGGTTGAGTCACACTTACTGACATGTGTTTGATAATACTGTTTAACTGTCCAAACCAAAGTGGAGTTCAGTAACTGAAAACACTAATAAGCCAAGGTATAGCTAAATGTGCGAGTCACTACAGAAAATCCCTTACTGACTTTACAATACTCGCCTGGCAAGCAGTTTGGTTTCACCTTGAGATCTTGAAGATAGTAAAGATCAATTACAACCTGTTACTGACTACTTCCAATCTTATTACCCAATACACTTTCCCGGTGTGGTATAACCATGGACAACAAACGTCAGAACCTGTCTAGTTCGATCTTATCACAAATAAGCAAGATGTAGTAGTTATCTACTGGGTAGCAATCACCAAGTTACATCCATTCTAGAAAATGTTGTGAAGTTAATGGTGAAATTAGAACAAAGACCAGTCAGTGATTAAATATAATGGTAGTGATATTTTGGGGTTATCTTTTTAGTTGATAGGTATGGTACTTATTAACTGAAGCGGTATTGACGAATTCACTAGAATTCATATATTGTTTATATTATTCCAATTTGACTACAAATCTAGTACACGTTGCATCACCGGAGATTCTTCTTCTATAGTCATTCGACTGAACTGATACGCAGTAACTAACAGATAAGTTGGTGCCAATGTTATAGTTATTCATGAAGTACACTAATCGACCAGTGAATGGTGACCAATACAGCTGTCGAATCCCACATGTTGAGAGAACCCGATCAATTCTGAGATCCGGTCACTGAGTAACAACACGACGATTCGGCGAACTGTTTGGTGCTTAACTTTAGAATATAGCCACCAAGAAGCCCTGCTCAGTCTACGTTTGACACTTGATGGTATACATGGCATTTAAAAAATCCATGACTCACCAGAAAATTTGGACGTTTCAGCAGTCAGACAGCAGGAATAGCTTGGTAGCAAAGTCTCCGACTTCGCCACCAAGTAACAGAAGTTTGAGTCTTCAAAAGAAAAATAGTTTTCTCAGGATTACAGACACCAATGAGTCCAACCAAGCATGAATTCTAAATGCGAAACACTTCGACCGTTGCTTCCCAATACTAGATGTTGTAAGTAGCGTCTTCATGCTGGTGTCACAGCTTTAGATCCCTTCATTCTTAAGTTTGCTTCTCATTCCACGATACACCGCGATACTCATACAGTACTTACTGGAGAAGCTTGATGGGATAAGCTGTAGGAAAATGTACGGAACACCTACATTCTACTCTCTTGGTTTTCGAAGGTTGGAATACCTTGCCTAAGGTCTCAGTTTACCAAGA